AACACTGTACTGTATTGCTGCATGCTGTATCCAGTCAACTCCATGAGATAGTCAATACTATTTTAAGACTTTATTGTAAAATAGGCCTTCCATTGGAGGGTTTTTTCCAACTGTAGGCTGATAAAAGGGTTCTGTTCAATTTAAGGGAGGCTGGGCTAAGCTATGATATGTGGCAGGTGATGTGTGATAAATGCATTTTCCATGGACAATATTTCTAGCTGAGGGTGTGTTTATTAGGCTGTAACCCCACCATAAGTTGAGGAGCACCTATACTCCCTTCTTTCTAAAAGAGAGCATGTGTCTCTTACCACTGCTGCCAATGTCCCTCTTCTGATACTGGAATGCACGGGGCCCACCACCCTCCAGTCCTGCCAGTTCTCCCATTTATTGTACAGGACACAACTCTGGAATAGGCAAGGAAGAAACACATTGGGCAAGTGTGTGTGTGTGTGTGTGTGTGTGTGTGTGGAGGGGCGGCAAGGAGTCTCCATGCCCTCTTGAAGTGAGCCACCCTGCAGGAGCCTCCATGTGCCCACCAACTTGAAGCTCTCCAAACTGTCCCTTAAAAGTTTCATTATGTAGGCACCACTGATTAAATCATTGGCCTCTTCTCTTCCCTAGATGTTGGGGGTATGGCTGAAAGTCAGGCCTCCAATCACAAGGTTGGTTCTGGCAATCAGTTCCCATCCTGAGGTTATCTGGGAGCTGCAGTCCTCAGTCTCCAATAGCATACAAAAGATCCCCATATCATTTGAGAGACTTCAAGAATTTTAAGAACTCTATTTCTTATTATAAACCACAACACCACAGGGTCTATGTAAGAAACAAAGGCTCCAGAAAGGAAGCTCCCAAGAAGTACGGCTTCAGCCAGCTGTCAGTGTTCCCAAGGATGAGAGAGAAGATCCCCTGTCAAGTCATAACCGAAGGTCACAATTGCCTCTCCCAACCTCCAAATCCACCTGCCTCTCCAGTTTGGCTTCGACCTTTTTGGAGGCATTGTTTCAGCAGTACCCTCAGAAGAGGTCCCTCATACACAGGCCCTCAGGAATCTACCTGCACATAATGCATTTTATTGGTCCTACTATGTGCTGGTGAATGAATAGGGGGTCTGGAATCAAGCTGGCCTTTCCTCAGCAGGCCTGCCTCATAGCCAGCTAGCCAGGCCACCCCAGTGCCGGGGTAGTTCCATCATCCATGGCCACTAGAGCCGGACTGGGCCCTGATGATGGCAGGCTGGGCTTCAGGGGAGGAGAAGAGGGGTGGTCTGCTACTCTGAAGTCCAGGAAGAGAAGGAATGGAGCAGACAATGCTTCTCTGCTCCAGGATGCCAGCAGGGGTGGAGTGGAGTACTTAGGGGTTGGCTTACTTGGTGAGGGCTGTGGCCTGGCCATGGTCTTTGCATGTTTCCTGTTAACAGTGCTAGAGCTGCACAGAAAGCTGAACTGGCAGAGCCAGGTGGCGGGCACTGGGGCTAGAAAAGGGCAAAGACAAATAAACACATCCAGAAGCCACGCCCCTGCCCCTGAGTCTCATTGTTTTGTGGGGTGACATTGCTTGTGTGGACAGTACATGCCCTGGTGCAGAGGCAGCCTGGGGAAGCAATGATTAACACCTCAGAGTGGGAGTGGGGATGAAAGGAGGCTTCCAGAAAGTGAATAAAAGTTTTTCACACAGGCAAGAGCACCAGGGCCATCATGTCCACCATGTGTGTGGACATAGCAGCAGGGTCGAGCTGGCTATAGTAGCAGTCCTGATGCTGACCACCAGGGCTGGGGGAGGATGGGGTAGGCACAGGATGCAGGTGGACATGGGGGACCTAAAGGTAGGCCCTAGGAGGTCACTTTCCAGGGGGCTTGTGCTTTGTCTGAGGGCAGGGAAGGCTATGGGGCACAGCTGGAACAGAATCTGACCTGTGGTTGGTGGACTGACTGAGAGTTCCTGGAGGTGGTGTCTGGTTCTGGTGACCATGTCCTGCCATGCCCAGTAAGCAGGTCATAGCTGCAGCTTGGCAGGTAGTAGGGAGAAGACAGAGATCAGATCCTCTCTGGAGTGTTGGGATGGAGCTGAGGGAAGGCCAGGCAGTGGAGGTGGAGTGGAGGTGGGAAAGGAACTTCTGCCAGGCCACCATGCGCTCAGCTGCGTGCGCTGGCTGCAGTGGGAGATGGAGTGGCTGATCTATTCTGCAGCATTCAAGTAGACGTGACTGCCATTGCTCCAGCAGCCATCGGCCTCTAGCTCTATGCCTGCAATCTCCTTGGCAGCAGCCCTGGCTATGGTGTCCTTATTCAAAGTGGGTAGTAGGTGGGTGTAGTGGCACCGTGCCCAGGTCACCTCTTGGGCACCTCCCCAGCTGCTGGGAAGAGCAGCTGCCATGACTACTTTGTGCCCCAGTGACTAGCTGATGTTGCAGGCAAAGGTTTCCCACTGGACTCAGGCGGGGTGACTCTGCAGGTCAGCTGAGTGCCATGACCACAGCCTTGGCAGAGAGTCAGAGAGCTCTCCCTCTGCCCCACCTTCCCTCTCTTACCTGACCCAGGGTCATTTCCCAGAAGTACTTCCCAGAAACCTCCTGCATATACACAGTGCTCTCTCAGTCTGACCTGGGAAACTCAATCTATGCCAGCCAGTTATGTCAACCCCTCTGTTAGGAAAAGAAGACGTTCCCAGGCTCCAGGCTCTACTTCCCAGAGCAAACTTGGCTTCTCTCTCAGTGATAAGAAATGAGACCCAGCTGCAAGGGGACCTGGACTGTGAGCTGCCTTTGTGTTAGCAAAGAAGCCAGAAGTGTGTCAAGGGCCACTGACTGTTATAGAAGTTCTAGAGACTTAAAACCACACATTTGTTTTATTTACTCTGCGTGTGTGTGTGTGTGTGTGTGTGTGTGTGTGTGTGTGTGGGGATAAAACCCAGGGCCTAAAACCCGACATTAAATTGACCAACCCAGAGCTCAGGGGAAAGTAGGAAGATGGCACGACGGAAATGAGTCATTCTTAGTGTGATGTTCTGCAGGTTTTTATGATTCTTTCTTTCTTTTTCTGACCTTCTCCTTTCGGCTGGGGGTCAGAATGAGGAAGAAAATGTGGAGATAGTGAGGCTGGTGTCAAAGACGGCTTGACCTAAGTCTTGCTTCTGTTTTTTGGATGCGAACTCTGGACAACTTCTCAACCTTGCAGTGGGGAGGCAATGCCTCTGTGTAGTGTCTGTGACAAGGTGGGGGAAAGGGCACTGTTATAACTGGTAGAGATGGGGACAGTTAGGCAGGAGTGAGGCTGGCAGGCAGGATTAGGGAGTAGGGACAGAGCTTCTGGGGAGGGAGGCTTCAGCAGGCAAGGCAGGACAGAGAGGGGGTGCATGGGTCAGAAATGCCCCATCTGAGTGGAGTTCCAGGGAAGTGCAGTCCAAGGCTGTGGACAGGGTAGACCATGGTGGGCTGGGGTCCGTGGGACTTAGAAAGGTAGGCAGAACCAGGGTGGTAGACCAGTGGCCAGAATGGAGCTGTGTGGACATCTGGGGACTGGAGATGCCAGATGTGATTGCAGAAACCAGTGCTTCCTGGACACTTCTGGAAGGTGAGTTAGAATGAAAGGCATCCAGGTGGGGCCTTGGCTCACCCCAGGTCCTTTGCCACTGACTCCAGCATTCCTTCTGTGATAAAACACGCACTCATGCGTGTGGCCGCTCAGAAAATATTGAACAGTGACCATCGCAGGCAGCTGCCAGGCAACCAAATGGGAGATAAATGGTGGCTTTTCAAGATATCGGGGTGATTAGAAAGTGACCAGTAAACAAGTGAAGTCAGAGTTTTCTCTTCAGTGACTCCTGCACCTTCCTCTCCCTTCTGGAATGGAGAAAAGTTGATACAAAACGGTGAGCCCTAGAGTCCCTTTCACATAATAATTTATTTATTTCAAAGCAACAGCAGGCACGAGCAGTTACAGGGCTGTGCCCTCCCCGCCCGTTGGGTCAGGGGGCCCAGCCACGCAGACTCATGGGGAGGTCTCCCCACATGGAGAGATGCCAGAGAGCACAGCTTGCTTTTGAAGAACATTTACCTTGAAATCAAACTGAGTTTTCTGTGTGCACAAGACCACTTTTTCTTGGAGGGTGGTCCCATGTTGGGTCCTGAGGAGCCTAGAGGGAGGGCCCTGACCCCATCTTGAGAGGCCCCAGGGGAGTAGGTGCACACAGAAAGGCAGGGTCCCAGGGAGGGGTCCTTCACGGCCCCTGAGATAATGGTGCATCTTCTTCCCAGGACTTGCGGCAGGAGCCCAGAGGCAGTCTGTGGCTGTAATGGCCCCGCCTCCTTCGCTCAGGTTGTTTCCTGAGGGACCAGAGTCTTCTAGTCTTCAGTAGGCGGGGCTTGGAGGCCCTTCCCTCCCCACCCTCTCTCCAACCCACCCTCCAACCCCAGGTCTTACTGTAGAGCCGGTTACTTATTTCCCCCACAAATCTACCCTCAAGGTTGATTTTAAGTACATTTTCCTTGGATCCCAATGCTGGGGTGGAGGGACAGGATGGGAGGGGGCTGGGTAGCATGTTTGTCCCTGTCAGCTTCTCCCAGGCAGGGGGCAGGTCTGGGCCACAGCTCCAGGGCACAGGCAGAACCATGGAATAAGGCCTCCACAGAGCATTTCAATTTTAAGAAAAGAAACCTATCTTCTAAACCTATCTAGGGAGCCCCATTGTGAGGCAAAGTCATTCAACAGGTGCAACAGTGGTGGAGCTGGAATTCTCAATGGTGGGGGCTTTGAGGTTAGTTTTCTAGAAGAATGAGGCTGATGGTCAGGAAAGTCCAAGATGCAGGTTACTTTCCCAGGAAAAAAGAAAACAGCATTCTCATACTCATCAGTGAGTGAAAACATCCAAAGAAAAATGCCAAAGTGGGTCTCATGGAACATTCCAGAAAGATGGTTTGTTAACCCCATGTTTCTGGGGAGGTCTTTTTATCATCCAGATGGCAAATGATGAAATCCGGGCTTTAAAATAGCATTTCTCACTTGGCATGGCTCCCAGTGCCTCAGTGGTAAAAGATGCTGAAGGCGTGGAGGATGTATAGCAGGGTGGTGATGAAGGCAAAGAACTGCAGGAAGAGGGGAGGGAGTTAGAAACTGTTAGTGCCTGCTTCCAGCACCCTTTGGTATCCACTGATTCTGTTCCAAGAACAGCAACTGCTGGCCAGCTTCTCTATCCTCCTGGAGCTGCTCCATCCCTGGCAACCCTAGGGCCACATTCTTCTGGTGTCCTGCTCCGTCCCAATGTCTCTGTCTCCATCTGCAGTGGGTCCCTCCACCTGGGCATAAAGTGAGCTTTCTTCCTCCCTGTCCTGGCCTCGAGTCAGGCTAAGCTCTCACCCTGGGCACTTTCTCCCCTGCCTCTCTGTGCTATATCGCTCCTGCAGTTGCACTGACCTACAGCTGTGCTCTGAGCACCTCCTTGTGAGTGTCTCAGGTGCCCCTGAAACTATTAATGGCCCTGAATGAACTCCTGACATTTCCTCCGAAACCCCCAAGCTCAGTCAGCCCCATGACCTCATCTTGTCCAACTACTCATGCCAGGAACCTGTGATCCTGCTGCAACTTCCCCCAACTACCGTGACCAAAGCTAGTGCCAAAGTCTACTGATTCCACTGCTGGCTGGCTCACGTGATGCTCACGTCTCTCGTCTCAGCCACCATCACCTCTCACTATGAACTTCTCTTGGCCTCAACTAATGCACTTGTGTCCACTCTGCCTAACAGGAAGCCATGACCATGCTTAAAACCATGTCTAAAACCACATGATGGCTTTCCTCTCTTCTCAAGAGAGAGGCTATCACCCTTGACACACCTCCCACATCTGGTCAGCCATCCCAGCACCACTGTCCTGGTGTCCACTCACACTTTCCTCGTTCATTCATTCAACAAACATATTTTAAGTACCTGCTGTAATTCAAGAATGACTATTGTGCTCAGTGAGGTGGGTCAGGTCTGTAATCCCAGCTATTAGGGAGGCATAGATAGGAGGATTACACTCTGAGGCCATCCTGGGCAGAAAGTGCAAGACCCCTACTGAAAAATAACCTAAAGCAAAAAGGGCTGGAGGCATAGCTCAAGTGGGAGAGCACTTGCCTAGCAAGCACAAGGCCCCGAGTTTAATCCCAGTACCATAAACAAAAGAAGAATGACTATTGCTATAACAGTGAACAAGACATTAAAAAAACTCCTGCCTCTATGCCAGGCATGGTAGTGCATGTCTATAATCCCAGTACTCAGGAGGACTCAGGAGGCTGAGGCAGGAGGATCACAAGTTCCTCACAGAGCCTGCATTTTAGCAGCAGGTGGCAGAACATACACAAGATTAGCAAGTGCTGCTGGGAGCAACTTGGGCAGGGATAAGGCCCAGGAGACCATGAAGCAGAAAAGGGAAAGAGGATGCTGGGACACGTGTCATTAGGGAAGCCTCAGCTAGAAAGTGACATTTGAGAAAAGGGCAGAAGGACGCTGGGACCCTGGGATAAGACCTCCCTGCCCAGGCCGAGCAGGAGTGTATCTGTGTGCTGAGTCCTGCCTTGGAAGTCCTCCTAAGGACTAAACAAGGTCAGGCTCTGCAGGAGTGGCCCGTGCTATGAGCACCCTGCCACACGAGGGCACCATTCCACGGTGGGAGAAAGTGCTGGAGACCAGAAAGGTCCTGGGGAGTCTCAGGCCCTGGGTCCTGTTCTTCCACCATTTAGTGGGACCATCTTGCCTTGGCTTCTGTCAGCCAACAATGCCATCCAGCATTGAAACAAAGGACACTGACCAGTGTCCATCATCAAGTCCATTCCAGAGTAATGGGAGCCATTGAAGAACTTCCCGTGGGAGAGAGATGTGCTCCAGTTTGTGTTTTGGGGAGATGATTATTTGGGACAGCAAAAGGCAAGAGATGGCCTTGAGCTTGGGCGCATGTGTTTACACACTCACACCCACGCACCCCGGCCCTGGCAGCAACTCCAAGCTCCTGCAAGTTAAGAGTTCAGGGTGGCTAAACAGCACGAGGCAGGATTAAACCTCATGCAGTAAGTGTCCTCCAGTGACAACCAGTGACAACCAGTGACAACCACTGTTGTCCCTGCCCAGCAGCAGAGCTGCCCACTCACCGAGGCCGCAGTGTTGACGTAGTAGTTTTTCAGGCTGTCCTTCTCAGAAATGATTGTGGCGTATACTTGCAGGACAGCGGCACTCATGTACAGGATGCTGGTAATCCCATGATACAGGCTGTCCTGGAAATGCAGAGCAGAGGCCATGGCCACAGTCACAGTCACCCAGGTGAGCACTGTCCTCTCTCGCTGCACAGTGGGGAAGGGGGAAGCCCTCTCCACTCAGCTCCTGTTCTTTCTTTGCAATGTTTCTAATGAGATATTTATGTAGCAAACAATAGTGAATTAATAAGTAACAATAGGATACCATACTCATATTTGAGTGCTTTGTGTGTGTGTGTGTGTGTGTGTGGTACTAGGGATTGAACCAGGGGCCTGGGGCTTGCTAGGCAAGCCCTCTACCACTGGAGCTGTGCCCCACTAGTTGGAGTGCTTATTCCATGCTGGGCTTTGTGCTAAGTCTTTTCCTCACCCCCGTCGATGGCGAGGTGTAGGTACTGCTGTACTTACTGTCGCTCTTACTTTGAGGGAAAGGAAGTTTAAGGTTATGGCTAACGACTAAGTCGGTAAGCCAGGATTTGAACCCAGACCTCATGAACCCCAAGCTTCTGCCCTTACCCATTAGTTTTATGAAGACCTACTCTGTACAGTGCACTATCCTAACACTACATATGCCATCTCATTTAATTTTCACAGCTGATTTCATAGGCTATTCTTATTATTCCTGGTTTATAGATGAGGGAACCGAGACTGCTAGAGCCAGGTTAATGACTCTAGATTTCAGTTTTTGAACCTCTGCGCTGAACTCTCAACCATGTTCTTCAATTCCACAAGAATGTCATGTGGCCATTAAAATGGAAATTAACTCTGAAAGAAGTGTCATAATCAGCCAGTTTGCATTTTGCCACCTCTACTGAAAAATTCAATACAGGAGTATTTACCAGCGGATGAAAGAAAGTATGGAAGAGTTGATGGGTCGGGCTGACACACTGCCCCAGAGGGACCACTTACTGTCACCATGTGATGTGATGTGAGGCTGCTATGAGGCACTGTTGCCAGGAATGTCTAACCCACATCCAGTGAAGCCTTCATTGTGAGCTTCTGGTTTACCGATAAGTCCGTGCATAGAGGGACAAATCAAACTGTACCAGGAGGAAGCAAACAGACAAATCCAAAACAGGTTCCCTCCGATAGGTAAATTGACCTCCAAAAGGTCACTGGGAGGGACCAGATCTAGCCACTCTAGACTAAAGGTACGAAGGAAACTCAACCAAGTACAACACAGGGCTCTTGTGAGCATCTGGATTCAAACAAGACAATGGGGAAAAAAAGCATTTGGGAAATAATGGGGGAGATTTAAATGTGACTCTTGCCTTAGAGTCACAGGCTGGGTTGTACTGCTAACTTTGTAGCAATCTGTTTGAGGTTTGCTTTAAAATTCTTCAGGTTAAGGAAAAAATAAAAAGCTTGGGCTGGTGAACTGGCTCAAGTGGTAGAGCACCTGCCTAGCAAGTGTGAGGCCCTGAGTTCAAACTCCAATACGACCAAAAAAAAAAAAAAAAAAGCTTAATGAAGCCAGTGAGCTAAAAGTCTTGATAATGCTAGAACCTGTGTCATGGCTGTATAAGGCTCTGGAATATAATTATCTGTGCTTTTGCACATACTAAACATTGCTCAACATAGAACACTTGTAAGTGGTTAACGAGATGGTGTGATGACATGAAAAAAAATTAATGATGTTATAGTAAATGAAAACATCTACTTCTAAACTTGTTCTGTGTGATTCAAATGCATAGCATGTTACATTCATGTAACATGTGGGAGGGAGAGCCTACCAAAATGACTGTGACAAACCCTTAGTCTGCAGTGATTTTTTTTCTTACTTGTATTTTCCTCAACACTGCTTCAATGATTTATTATAGAATGAATAAAATTTAGAGAAAACACATCAGAATCTTCTTTCTTTTCTTTTTTGGTGGCACTGGGGTTTGAACTCAGGGCTTCATGCTTGCTAGGAAGGCGCTTTCACCGCTCAAGCCCCTCTGCCGGCCTTGTTTTTGTTTTTGAGAGATAGAATCTTGCTATGTTGCCTAGACTGGCCCTTAACTTCCTGGGCTCAAGCCATCCTCCAGCCTCAGCTTCCCAAGTAGCAGGAGACCACTGGAATTCTTAATTTCTGGGAGGGCTGTATATTCCGAACAGGGAAGGCAGTGGAGAGAATATGAGAAAAGATTGACTCTTGCAGAGAAATAGTTCCATTTTGGTTTAATAATCGCCATACTAAAATCAAAGCCTCAGTTCCATAGAGGTCAAGCCCAGATGGGGTTTCTCATCCCAGATCTCGGGTTCTCCCCTCCATCAATAATGGCCAGTTGTCTCAGAACACCCAGGACGTTGTCAGGGAGGAGCCTCCCCTTTGGTTCTTACCAGGATTCTCCAGGACTCAAATTTTTTGTAAAATCCAAGCAGGTAAGACAATAGGAGCATCAGAGAGATGAGAAATGAGGTGAGCGAGACATATAACACCCATCCTTGAAGCAACGGGTATGCCACTTGGGTGACAGCTACCAGGATCCAGACCCAGATACCAAATATCTGTAAGAGAAAAGAAAAAAGAAAGGGCTTCATTTCCCTGTAGGGGAAGTTTCCCTTTGCAGGGCATTCTCTCCTCGGGTCCTGTTTGGAAGCTCAGCTGAAGTCAGAAGGAAAAAAAGAGAGAGAAATGGGGTGGGACAGTTGGCCCTTCTGAGTCACGATCAAGTTGGATCCTGTTGGAAAATTCAAGAGGTTGACACAGACATTTTAAAAGGAGGGACTTTCTGCCAAGTTTGGATGTATCTTCTTGGCCCAACAAGAAGTATCAACTTGTTGGTATCAACAAGTTTTAAACCAATCTGATAAGTTGCTAAAATTTAAAAGAGAATTTTTCACCATAAAAATTATCCAGATTTTAGAAATTTCTTGGGAAATTCATTGTTCTGGTCATAGTGTACCCACTTCCCAGACAGGAATAGGCTTCAATGAATTGTGATTGTCTCTTTAAAAAGGACCCAGAGTCCTTAGTGGACCACATCTGCCTCTCTGCCAACCCTACACGACACTGTGGCATGCTTCCTGTTGCTCACTTCCACTGTGGAATAGTCTTTTCCTTCCCCTGGCTTCCACCCACTGCATGCCTGCCTGGCACTTGGTTTGGAGCCCCCAGGTCACAGTAGGTGGTGTCCTGGGTCAGTTACTGGTGGGTGATAGGCTTCCAGTTTAATCATCTCTCAACTCTGTCCAGCAATTCGTTACCCCCTTGGGGATAAATCAGACCTTTTCTGTTCCCTCTGGACTCTGCTTTTGCTTCCTTTCTGCAGGACCTACCCCAAGATGGACAGCCCAGGAGAGGATCTAGATGTCCAGCAGATGGCACGTCCACTTGGAGGACTGGAGGGAGAAGGTTCACTTGAGCACCGCATGGTGGTGGTGTTGCTTTGTATCCAACTTTCTGAGCTCCTCCCCTTTCCTGGATCTCTCTAAAGATGCCATGGTAGCCTCCTCAGTTCTCTGTCTCCTCACTCATGTTAGATCTGTGCTTTTAAGCTCCATATTAACTGGTGATTTCACAAACTTACTTCCTCCCTTTTCTTTTTGTGAACTTCTGCCCCACTCATGCACCTTCCTACTGGATGTCTCTTCTAGGAAGTCCCTCTGCAGTACTGACTCAGCATTTGCATGACCCCGAGCTTGTCTCATTAAATTTTACACCCGGGCACCTCCCTCGCCTCACCCCAGGCCTGGACCTACCCCTCAAGCTCTTCAAATTCAAAGGCACAAAATCTGAACTTGTTTGCCACTCCCCAATTCCTTCAAAGTCTGCCCTCCTCCATCCTTGTTTAGAATGACTCACTTGGGTTGTTATAAGATTTAGCATGGGGTACAGAGCCTCTGAAGATAATGGTACTGTTCTATTTCTCCCACTTCATAGTGGGCACACAGAGATTTGTTTTCTGTATAACAATAAAATAATTTGGGAAAAAGAAGAGCCTGTTGAGTACAAGACCACTGAAAACTTGTGATGATGGGGGTGGGGTAACTCAAAGATGACTCCTGAATTTATGGTTTGGAGGAATTACATTACCAGCTTTTAAATTTTTCTATAAAGCTATGGTAATCAAAAGAATCGCAAGTACAAGTGACTCACATTTCTGTGGAGACAGTCCATCTCATTGACAGCTCATCCTCTTCCTAATTCTGTTGCCTTTCCACACAAATTTTAGAATTAATTGTCAATATTCACAATATCTGTACGTGGGGATTTTTACTGCATTAAATCTAGAGATATCTTTACTGTGGCAAGTCTTCTACTCCATGAACACGGTATGTCTCTCCAGTTATGAAGAAGTTCTTGACTTACTTTCTCAACGACTTGTATGTGCTGGTTTTAAGCATTCTGTTATATTTTATGCCTATGTATTTCATTGTAAATAGTGTTGCTTTTTAGGTTTTTGATTTCCTAATTTTTCATTTACAGTAGATAACAAAATAATTGATTTTAATGTGCTGACATTGTACCCTGCTAAATGTATTAGTTCAAAGAGGGCTCTTTTTGTTGCAGTCTGGTAGATCTATCATGGTTTTTAATGCATCTCATTGAATTTAACTTCGAAGATTATTAATGAGATAGAGCACATTTTTGTATTTTTGTTGGCTTTGTATTTCCTCATTTGTAAATTTTTAATTATTTCTATTGGCTATAACATTTTTATAAGTTCATCTTTTTCTTACTGATTAATAGGAATTCTTTCTGATTATGTGGCTATCACTACTATTGTATGTTTCAGATATATTCTGCTAACATCTGTCTTACAGATTTTATGCTGGCTTTTGATGAACTAAGTCTTTAATTTTAATGAAATTGGGTATGTCATCTTTTCCTTTTTAGATCATGATTTTTACCAACCTTAAGACATTCCTTTCTACTTTCCATCATAACTTCCCTTTAGTGATAATTTTCTTCCTTCCTGAAGTACCCTTTAGTGGTATTTTTATTGAAAGTAAGTCAGTAGTAGTCAGTTTTTTCTTTTTTTCAGTACTGGGGTTTGGACTCAGGACTTCATGCTTTCTAGGAAAATGTTCTAAGTCTTGAACCATGCCTCCAGCCCTTTTTGCTCTGGTTATTTTGGAGATCAGGTCTTGCTTTTTTCCCAGGCTGGCCTGGAACATGATCCTACTATTTCAGCTTCCTGTCACATACCTGACAGGCACGTACCACCACGCCCAGCTTTTTTCCATTGAGATGGGGTATGGCAATGGAATCTGGCCTGGAACCATGGTCCTCTGAATCTCAATCTCCCAAGTAGCTAGGTTTACAGGCATGAACTGCCGGTGCCAGGCTCAGTAGTAGTCAGTTTTATTTGATGGAAAATGTCTTTAATTTTTCCTAAAAATTATTTTCTCTCTACTTTTCCAAGATATATTACTAATGAATTATACATTTGCCTGTTTCACTCCATTGTCTTCTGGCTTTCCTTGTTGCTATTGAGAGGTCAGCTGTCAGGGGAACTGTTGCTGAATTGTAGGAATCTGTGCTTGATATCCACTGCTTTTACAGTTTTCTCTCTGTCGTTGGTGTTCTGCAGTTTATACAATAGTAATGCAATGTGTTGAGATGTAGATACCTTTTTACTACTCCTGCTAGGTATTAATTTCATATTTAATATCTGAAAATTCCATTACCTTGATCTTGTTCATTTGATTTTGCAGTCTGTGGCTCCTGTTAATTCTTATCCCTCTACACCTGTTTCCTCCTATGTTTAGTGAATTCTAATTGGGAGCTGTGTCTGTGGGGATGGCTCAGTTCTGAATGATGTTATTAGAGAAAGTCTGGACCAAACAATTCCACTCACTTCTGTCTAGCTCAGCCAAAAGATACACAGCATTCAGGTTCTGCTTTTCATAATATGGGGACTAGCCATTCTTAGCTTACAGCTAATACATAGACATAGACATGTCTTCCTATCCCTTATCAGACTTCCACTCTTGTTGTATTGAGGAAAAGCACTTTTGTATTTGTGGAGAAACTGTAGACTTTTAAGGAGAAAAACAGAAAGAGGAAGTGAGACGCCAACTAGAATAAGAGGTTGACCACAAGGTAGAGACTCTAAGGCAAGGAGTGCAAGTACAGCACTGATAGGGCTTGGAAATACCTTCAGAATCTTGGCCACCTCTTAAAACACAAGTGCTGGGAGCAAATTCTCCCAGTCCTTAATAATCAACTTCCAAATGAATTTTAGAAGCTCTAGGCTGGGCCTGGGACTGCCTGTGAGTGAGTGTGGCCGGCTTGTTCTGAGGAGAGGTAGTGAGGGATGGGAGCCCTGTCCTCTGGCTCCCCTTGGGCTGGGCTCTTGCACATCAGCACAGGGACTGCTGGTGCTGATATTGCAGAGATGTGACAAGGCTCAACTTGAAGGGACTCCCCAAGGGGTCTTCTCACCAAGTCATGGAAAACACGCAAAAATGCTGGTGCATGCCCAATGCCCAAATAATGCTATTAGTGGAAAGGCCACTTAGGACTTACAAAATTGTTGACTACACCAGGATTTGTAAGCATTTAGACTCACATTAGATCGCTGAGGACAGGAAAGGTTTTGTGCTAGTCATCACTCTGTTCCTGGTGCGTAGCACAGAGCCTGGAACATGTGAGGGTGAGGGGTGTTAAAGTACATTCTTTTAGAGCTGGGCATGGTGGTACATACCTATAATCCCAGCTACATGGGAAGCATAGGTGGGAGGACTGCAGTCCGAGGTTGGCACCAGGCAAAAATACAAGACCCTATCAAAAAAATAACTAAAGCAAAAAAAGGTTGGGCGTGTGGCTCAAGTGGTAGAGCGCCTGCCTAGCAAGTGTGAGGCCCTGAGTTCAAATCCCAGTACTGCCCAAAAATAATAAAGTACATTCTTTTGAGTGAATCTATAAAAACATCACCTCCACCTTTACAGTTTATAAAATGTGTTCACTCAGCCTGAATTCACTTAGTTTGTCCCACTATTCTAATTCCCTTAGAAGGAACAGACAACTACCATTTGATCCCTCTGCTGCTACTGCCAGCTCATCTGTTCCAAGCGTGGTAGTCAGCCAGGGTGTCCCAGTCCCTCTGTCCCCATCAGGGCCTGAAAAGGAGTCCTTTTTCCTCTCCTGCCATCAGAGACTGCCTTGACCAGACACCGTCATAAGTAAGTTACTTATATTTCTGAATTTAATCTTCTCCATAGTCTGTGAGGAGGGGATCAAGGCCTGAGGTCACAAAGTCAGTGTGCGGTGAAGCTGGGATGTGGGTGAGGACATCCCCCAGATCACATTTCATACTCTGAGGATAGGGCAGGTAGATGCTTCCAGAACATGCCTTAGGTTGGCCTGTTAGAGCCTTAGCCCAGGTCTGCTTGAAGAATTAAAGGCCTTGATGGGAGTCTCATGCCCATAGGATCAGATCATCCATTTGGGCCTTTCCCTTTGGGTTCTAGCTATGGTTTGGGGACCCCCATTCCCATCTTTCACTCTCAGATGAGCCCAAGACCTCTGAGCACTTGGAAGTCTACCTAAATTGCGTGGG